CTGGCTTCAAAATTAATTGCCTGGATCCAGCCTAGTTTTGAGATAAGTGGTATTTATTCGAAAATAGTATGTCTTAATCATACCAATGTTATTAATTCGCGCTTGTCGTGCCTTGTTTTGCGCGTGCTCCAGGGCACCATCCTGCGGCCGGTTGTACGAGTGCCGGACAGCGTATCCACCGGATAGTGATTTTTTCCATAATGTAAAATTGCTTGAAACACTATAAAACCACGGAAATGGACCCCACGTTAAAGAAAAAAAACTTTAACTTATAAATACTTAAGTTTAATCTGGGTTATATCAATTAACGGATAATTTCAGAAAGCTTGAAAATATCACCATACGGTGGATCCAGCATTGTACAATGCTGCCCTTGTAGATTTTGTCTTGTATATAGTGTCTTGTATAGTGTCATGTTGTCTTGTATGGTGTAGTGTTCACGAGGGAGATTTAGCGGTTATGGTTAGAATTACAGGGTAAGGAAACAGAGAGCCATGGATAACCGTTAGCATACAATGAAGAACGAGACATGAAACTATACGTAGAAGCAGTGTCTCAGCAGAGATTTAAGATTTTAGGAGTGCTTCTAAATTTACGGCGTGTACCAGCCAATTTTGCCCAGAATATCCAAATGCACTCGGTTTCAACAATATACACTTATTTACTGAGACCGAGGGAAATAGTGTTTTGTGGCCCCAAAACCCCGTTGTTGCCCGAGGCGAAGCCGAGCACGACACGTGATACGGTTTTGTCCAATCGACAAACAGGAAAACAGAGATCAACTACCTGAGAAGTGTGAGCTGAACCTCGACGTTTCTGCCGAAATTTAATTTGTCGTCCCATTTTTTTATTTTTCACAAAGTATCGGCAGAGTAGAATGTGGGTCATGCTCAAAATTTCTATGCGACTAGCTTTTCGATAACATATCATGGCTCTCGGTATCCGAAATTGCGTTGCAAGTTGCAACAAAGATTGCCGGCTCGTGTGACACCGGCACGCATGCAAGTACATCATTAAAGCCGGTTTCCATATGGTCGTATAAATAGGCGGAGTGATTATAACTATAGAGAATACTTATGAGTTACTATGTGTGCATGGTTTACAGTGGAAACCTTACCAGGCTTAAAAGACACACCGTAGCGCGGACTAGCATACACTGGCACGTTTACAACGACAAAAGGAAAGCATTATACAACGACAATGTCCGAAACACGTTTTTAACTGTGCAAATTTTATTTCCTATCTCGAGTATTTAATACCGTTCTTAATCCATTAGCCTATCATTTTACGTTTTCGAAACTAATTTCACCATTGGCACTGAATGCTCGATACCGAAAGACTTTCTTAAAAACAACCAATATATCTAGCAAAAATCAAGAAAATACACATGCATGCAGTAAATTATTGCATACAAAGCATTGCTCTTCTTCACGTTCGTACTTGATCACTACTCGTCCAGTCTTCAATCACGGATCACGGCTAGGCATGTAAGTCACATTTCACGACACAAAAATCCGTCATTTCATATTTCACGAGAACAAATATTGGCAATTCACGGCTCGCGAATATATACCCTTTATACCACCGCCATTGATACACATTGAGTATTAGGTGCTATACCTATTCGCCGTTTTAATTTGAATGCTTAATATAAATAGCATATATAGACGTGTAAATGTTTAGTCTAAATACTCTAAAGATTCTGTAATGTAAATAACGAGACCACAGCAAATACGAAGATTTATATTCATTTCGTTATGACGACGGTTTATTGTAAATAACATTAAAAGTTAACAATAAAAGTGTATTAAACTCACCATAACTTGGTCTTGGCCTTTCTCTGCCTCCAAATGACTCGGCGAAGATGAAAACAGCTTCGTTTTATAGGTCCGTATTTAATAACGCGTCTCAATTCCAAAACGAACACGGCAGACAAGCGGCGAAGCAAGCTAATACAAGATTGAATTTTCGCGCGCATTTTACAGTCAGGAGCTTTCTTCGCCTCTGATTGGCTGTTTCTGTTACCCAGGGGAGTAGAAATGAACTTGTAGAACTTAATGATATTTCGACATTTACAATTTTAAAATATCCCTTTTCAAAACAATTACTGGACGACAGGGAGAACAGTGGGATTTTCAAACCAACATTAAGACGCTCAAAAGAGCGTTAACTCGCTGATGCTATAGTGGTACGCATACATGTTGTTAGATGGTACTACAATCATGTGGCCAATTGAAGAGTTGTCACAAAATCTTTGCGCTGTTCTTATAAAAGCATAGTTAGCAGATACGGTTAATTTCCCGAGGAAGGGCCGTCACTAGCCTGCTCGCGGCAGTCCAAAATTTCGTTCAAAGGAAACCGGAAATTTGGTTTCCCTAGTTTTCCGTTTCAAATTTTCGGGTGGGGGCTGCGAGCAGGCTAGGCCTTCGCTCCAAACGTCAAAGTTTTATCCTAATTTAATCTGCAGCCTCTGATCTGCAGTTTTCTGGAGTTATTGTCACTACCTACATACGCTGGCTGAGACCGTTCGAGTTTATATCGCATTAAAAATATCATGCTCGAGATGTTTTATATAGCTGTGCATCGCTGCCTTTCTATTTCTGTCTTTGTCGGGCTATAGCAATAGGATGCCATTTTGACCGCTTAACATGCAGGATTTATTTGGCATTAACCTAATACATCTCCAAATTCATTATTCTTGTCTTTGAATCCACAATGCCGTAAAAAAGCTGTTTTAAAAGAACCTAAACATATTCATGCTGGTTAAAATTTTAAACAGCAGCTTTGGCTTTTTTAAGTAAAATTCTTGAATTTTCCTCAAAAGTTGTAGGGTTATTTATTTGGGTAAAAATTGGCAGCTAATTAATATTCTATTTTGTTTGGCTATCTACGACGATCCAGGTGCCCCAGCGAGTAATATAAGACAATGGTGCATTCCTAGTGAAGGGCACTTAATATTGTTTATATATGCTAAGACTACGCGCGTGTTATTTTGGAATTGTGATATGAACAGGGGCGTAGGAAGCATCAAAAAGTTGGGGGGGGGGGCACTGGTTCGAGGGGCACTTTTGGAGTGAAAAGGGCGCCTAAAATTTTTTTCCCGTAAATGTTGGCAACGGGGGAATGAAAGGAAAACTGATAAATGCAATCATACTCAAAGGCCGTTCAGGCCGACTCACGGATGAGATCAAATGAAAGTGACCGAAAGAATTAAAGCAGTTTGCAGTTGTTTTTGCGAACGAGCACCATGTAAATTTTGCCATTTGTCGTGCTCCAGCCCGATTTCCGGCTCTGAAAGGCCCGATTCGCAGGCGAAGAGTGTGCGCCAAGCGGGCTGGTCATTTCTCATTGTTTAACTGCCCCACACTCAAGTAACCACAAAGACTCACAGATGTTGTTTTACAACATCCGTGAGTCAAAAACGCAATGGGAACAACATTATTCACGAATGCAAAGGGCACTTTGCCACCGGGAAAAGGGCACTTTGGTGTCGTCTGAAAACTTGGGGAGCCTTGACCCCCACCCCCTGGTTCCTACGCCCCTGGATATGAAAGTCACCCAAAATGGTTTTGGTGACCTTTAATCTGTCTAGCTACTCAACTAAACTATGATCCTTATTGAAATATCCCCAAATTGAAAATGTGGTAACCAGTATCAATTCCAACAGTTCTTAAAATAAAAATTAGGCAGCTTGTAGTTTCTATTTCATTAGTCATTACTCATTTAATTATATTATTGACTAGATTAACTGTCAAATATATCCATTCACACAGCGGTATTTCTTTGTTTCAATGTTTTATACCAAGGCATGTCGTCCAAGGGCAAAGTACGACATAAAATATCATTACATAAGAATTTGGCTACTTCAATCATGGACGTCAGAATTGGGTTGGGCAGACGCGAAGAGGTTTTTTTTTCCTCCTGTCTTTAGCGTCTAGCACTCTAGCCGTGTTTACATTGCCAGGCAGCAGCCCCAACGCACATTACCATAAATCACAATAAAAAAACACAAAACACGCGACCATATAATTTTCCCAACCCACAAGGCGCCAAGATAGAGCGACCTTGAACGACTTCCGCGTGAGCAAAGCATCGCGTGACTGATTGAAATGGCTAAAACAATCTGCGCGGGAGCACATTTGAAAACAGGAAGCGTTTTTCGCCTGCAGAGCATTTAACAACACTTGTGGTACAATCGATTAACGTTTTAATCGCTTGTTAAGCTCCGAGTGAGGCTATCTTCATGTACAATGGTAACATACTTGAATATTTGAGTGTTGTCACGCAATCCTGTTCAGCATGGCACCACAAGGTGAAAATTGACACTCCATGCGTCATTCAAACAATATATTCAAGAATATAAGCTATAATTTAACTAGCCCACGCTTTAACTTGCATGAAATCAATGTCTATACATATTAATCTGGAATTTTCCCTTGGCCTTTTGACAAATCTGCAGTTATTAAAAAACAAAGCTCTCTTTCTAAAAAAAAGACTCTCTGTAGCAACGCCAACGGTATTATAGATCTAGAATACAGGATGACGTGCCTCGATGTATCAATATTCAATAAGATATATAGTGCAATACTTGCAGTGGAAGTCTAGTGAAGGCAGAGTTCTACAATACGCTGTAGATCTTTTCCAGGTAGTTCAGACCCAAAGTACGGTAGATAATATATAGTCTTCCAAACAATATTTATTTTAAAAGTAAACATGCAACCATACATTGTTCGATCTTGTGATAGAGCTAATAGCTATACGCCTATAGTTATTTTAGGAACAAAACTCTCTTTCTCTCGTGTGCTTATAGGAAGTGTGTGCATGCAAACAATGGTATAGAGACCTCTTCGTGATGGCTCTTACCTGCCCTAGATCGGAGGAACAGTTTAGAAATGATAAAGCTATCCAGTATAAATGAACCAAGTTCGTTCAGGGTTCCTCCTCTAGAAACATATAGTGATATAGGACCAACGAGGGATAACAGTTTGGAACTGACAGTCACAGAGCTTCCCAGTATAAATAAAGCTATAGTTAGTTTAATAGGGAGGTTTGTGTTTCATATTTTATATTTTATATAAACCTGATCAGTGGTATAAACCACTATATATTGTATAACGAAATATAATAAATATTCACGCGGCTCAGTCGGGTGGTGATGAGAACCAAATAGTTTATTTTATATGGCCTTATATTGCTGTGAATATGACGTTGTCGTTGGTTGTTGATAAATTTTTACTAAACTTAATTGACAATTTTTTACTTACAATTCAGTTTCTGAACACGAACCCATAAATGCATTTAAAAAGCAGCTAACTGTATAAATTAGAAAATAGAACTAAAACAAGGTGATTTTTAGGTTTTGAACGAGAAAACTTTTCAGTTTCAACTTTTCGTAAAAACTGAACAAGCGAGACAAGGCATTTAGTTCTACCGAGTGTGATGCCTTAAATCCTTGACCTTGTTAATTGGCCATGCAAATGCACGACTGTAATTTATTAATTCTACCCATACACACGCAAACGTAAGCTGAAGGCTACAATGTCCAAAATACTCTGCATATATTTAATATTAATCAATTCAATATTATATACGCAACGATTGAAAACAAGATTTGACAAGATCAACACAAGATCAACAGTTTATATTTTTAAACAAATTTCCACATAATTTCCACACGAGGTAACACAAAAAATACTTTAACCATATCAAGGGTTGGCAACGAAAATTTGTTTGCTTTTTTGAAGAGACTAGTGAAATAAAACGTTAAAACAATTGTTACTGCCTTTTCATATCTTGCTTAATTCCTTAAATATTTTGATCGAAATCAGCATAAATTGGTGAGTCGTCCGCCATCTTGGATTATTTTCGACATGCATACGTCACCAGCAGTCACCAACAGGGTCACGCAAAGTTTTTATCTCGACATCTATTGCTCAATGTGTGCCCAAACGTCGACTTTGGGACCTATTTTAAATTTCGAGGAAACTCAACCTATTTTAAATAAAATAAGTAAATATCGCTATTCAGTCACCTATAAACGAGTAGTTTTATAAGAGAACTTACAGACTATACTCTATAGCCCTGATATTGACGTCACAAGAACCATAGTTAATCAGGTCAAAAATTAATCCACAAAAGCAATTTTTTGCTTTCCGTAGCCGACTACATTACCAGACAAATATCTATTCTCTAATTTAATAACACAGAAATTTCTCGTGGCAAAATACGAACGGTACAAATGAAGGCGGCGGCATTGGCATGCAATGATTAGGGCTGATGATTGAGCCTTCGTCCACACTAATCCGTTTGCGTGAATCCCTTGGTTATTTATCGATATTTCGAAAACGCATACGGCAAGTATCTGCGTCCACACTAGCGTTTTTGGATAATTTTTGCCGTCCACACCATCACTTATCCTTTATATTATATGATCGATGACATCCGTTTTCCATCGTATTAGTGTGGACGATCGATGAATTAAAACGCATACAAAAGTATGCGTTTTCTCATGTGTCACACTCAAACAAATGTCATACCCATTCTCGGTATAGTGTGCACTATCGGCGATAAATTCTTAAGAATATGTTCTGCTAAAAACGCCGGCTGTGTATTGCAAGAATCAAAACTCCGGTGACAGGGACAGGAGCTTTTAAGCTTATAAGCAGCTATATCGTTGTGCCACGTTGTGTCATAGAAAACGGTATCACAATGACGACAATGAGAATTCATGCATGTCTACTGGACCTACTGCTGATAGCCAACGCA